GAGGGAAAGTGTGTGCTGAGCATTCCGCACTGTGAGTTACAATCCTGAATAATAAAAGCTAATATGCAAATTGACCAAAAGGCGGAATGACTAGTCGCTATGATGTGCACTGACCACCAGGGGGCAGATGCTCAGTGGAGGAGCTGCCCCCTGGTGGTCAGTGTGCTCCCACTGGGGGAGCGCTGCTCTGCCAGAAACCAGGCTTATGGTTGGCGAGCCCAGTGAAGGTGGCAGGAGCCCAGTGGAGGGTTCAGGCCTAAACTGGCAGTTGGATATCCCCTGAGGGGTCTCAGATTGGACATGGTGCAGGCTGGGCTGAGGGATACCCCCTCCCCCCCACACACACACACACACAGTGCACAAAATTCGTGCACCAAGCCTCTAGTCTATACATATAGAGGTAATATGCTAATTGCCATTATGGTGTCCCATAACCAATTTGCATGTTGATGTGCACACAGCAGGGAGTGGGCAGCTGGAACCAAGTTTGCAGGGGCCTGAGGAGAGCCTGACAGGAGCCCAGACTACAAAGGAAGAGGAAGTAGCCACAGGAAGCTCTTCCAACCCCCCTGCATGGACACCCTACCCCTGCCACCGCACTCCCAGGGGGATGGGGCGGCTGACTGGATGGGGAGAAGACCCACCCTAAAAACTGGTATTGGTGTGGGCATTCGAAACAATCAGAGCTAGGACCTGAAATGCTTCTAGGTTTTGAGTGCTCATTGTTGGCTTCATTAAGGACAGCAGAGCCAAAAGACTGGTCACCTAGGACAGATGAAATTGTGAACCTGCCCTACCAGCCCTGACCAGCTCATAACCCTACTCTGTGCCAAGTTCATAGGGATGTAAGTGAAAAAACATAGTTCCTGTATCAGAGGTAACAGATGTGCTAACATTTTTTTGCACACTGGGCTTGTGTCAGAAAACATCCTTTATGCTTTATATATATTAGAATGACTATGTGCTCTAGGTATTACTTCATTCAGAGACTGAGGATACAGGCTTAGCAAGTTCAGCTACCCATGGTAATCCAAGGGTGGAAGCTGGTCTTGTAACTCCATCATCTGTGGGATTAACTGCAGTGCTATACTGGTTCCCAGTCTTATCAAAAATTTTAATTAAAACTTGAATTCAAATTAAAAGGAATGAAACTTAATGAAGATGAGTACAGGGCACATGGGGTTCAAAGAGAATGCCACAGGTTCCCACAGAATCTCGGGAGCTTCCCCGGGGTGTGAAGAATGAGTGTGCATGCACCAAGCAGTAGCAGAGCCATCTGGTCAGTGATGAGCGCGCTGAGGTGGGATCTCAAACATAAAGTGGGAGAGACAAATGTTAAATAGGTAACAGAAAGTTATGTAGAGAGCAACATAAAACTGAATAATGGAACTAGAGACGATACTGATCACTCTTTTAAGAAGCTTCACTACAGGGGATGCAAGTCTGTACATGTTTACACACGCTGCTATTATCAGTATACTGAAGCTGAAATTTTGTGCTGCCATTTATTTGTAGTTTTGGGTAAACTGCATACCCTCTTTTCATCTATAAATACGGTTTAACTTCATCTAAAAGAGCTACAGAATATAAACTTTGTGCATAGTACTTTTTTTTTTTTCCCCTGAACCCAGAAAAAGACAGATGCTCATGTATATTATTAGCTACAACTGTGCCGGGCCCCATTTTAAGTGCTTCTCGGGTTTTGTTTTTTCCCCCAACAGCTTATATGCACTATTTCTAAAACTCACTTTTCAGGCGAGAAACAGGCAGGTTAAATGCATCTAAGAGCACATTGACAGTTAAATAGCAGACTCAGGATTTGAACATCCTGACTCCTGAGAATACATGACTCCCAGTAACTGCCCTCTGAAATAATTCCAACATTACCACACTAGACCCAATTCTAATTTTCTGAAAGTCAATAGTGACCCACTCAATATTCTCAATAGCGCCGTTTTATGTTCAAATAGCAGATATCCATGCCACAAAAACTATGTGACATGTTCACTCTTAATGGAGTTGTGCTAGAACTACCTACTTACTGTTATCTAGAAGTTACTAGAGCAATAACAGCTCCACAAACTTTAAAACTACATCCCTCCTAAGCTTCAGTTAAATAATAATCTACTTATTATGAGACCAGTGTTTCTGATCTTTTCCCCTCCAAGACCTAGCAGTTATCATCTTATGTGCCTCAGGCATGGAACAGCTCTGGCCACCGACACAGGCATTAAGTTAGGATGAATTAAGGACTGTATATCTGCTTTGCCCGATTGATATAAGAGCAACACCACACATCAGGTGTCACCTTGGCCGTTGCCAGGGGGTTTGTGCATAGTGCTTTTAAAAAAATTTTTAGAGAATGGGGAGAAAGAGAGCGAGGGAGAAACATTGATTTATCTGTTGTTGTTGCTCCACTTATTTATGCATTCAGTGGCTGATTCTTGTACTTGCCCTGACAGGATCATAACCACAACCTTGGTGTTTTGGGATGACGCTCTAGCCAGCTGAGTTACCTACCTGGCCAGGGCCTGCTTAGTACTAATTTTAACAAAATTTTACTTCCCGCCCTCCCATAGTGTTTGTATTAGTATCTACAGTACAAACATAGAATTCCTTCTATTTAATAACAGAGACTATTCTCAAAGTATAATGTGCGGTAAGATAAAAAGACTAGAATGATGTTGTTTTTATTTCCTAAAGGCTACATTTTCAATATAGTATTTCTTAAGGACTTTGTTCTATAAACTTTCGGTAAATCCTTGAAATCTATCAGTAATAGTAACTACTACCCTGACCAGTTTGACTAAGTGGATAAAACGCCAGCTTGCAGACTGAAGGGTCCCGAGTTTGATTCCGGTCCAGGGCATGTGCCTTGGTTGTGGGCATATCCTCAGTAGGGGGTGTGCAGGAGGCAGCTGATTGGTGTTTCACTCTCATCGATGTTTTTAACTTTCTATCCCTCTCTAAAAAATCAATAAAAATTTAAAAAATAATAGTAACTACTAATGCAAAGTATAGCAGACATTTGCATAGGATTCTATTCAGCAACCCCTCTCCTGCAATCTTGCCCCTTGCCCACCTTCCCATCCCCACCCCTGCTTACAAAGCAGAATTTTAGGATAAAAGACAAATATTTAATCTTAGCAAGAAGAATTTCTAAAGTATCATGAATTTAAACTACTTTTACTTTATCTAAGGTTGCCTTGTTAACAGACCAAACATTTTTGGCATTAAAAAAAAATGTGTTGATATGAAGGTTGTAGAGGGTATAAGTTTTGTCCTTTATTTTTAATATTTTTATTAATTTCAGAGAGAGAAAGGGAGAGGGAGATAGAAACATCAATGAAGACAGAGAATCATTAATTGGCTGCCTTCTGCACACCCCACACTAGGAATCCAGTTCGCAATTTGGGCATGTGCACTGACTGGGAATTGAAGTGTCCTCCTGATTCATAGGTTGACGTTCAACCTCTAAGTCACACCAACAGGGCCGTTTTCCTTTTTTAATATATAACAGTATCTCCCATATGCCATAAAAGCATTTCCATCAGGTTTATGAAATTCTTTGTAAAATGCCATCCTATATAATAAAAGCCTAATATGCTACGTGTCCAGTCATCTGGTTGGCCTTTTCACCAAAGTGTAATGTGCTAATGATATACTAAGGCCGCTTAACTGCTTACTATGACATGCACTGAGCACCATATTTAAAGTATCTAATGTGGCAGACACTCTGGTAGGTGAGCTTGCTGCTGGGGTCTGGCCAATCGGAACTGAGCTCGAGGGGCTGGACACGCCCTGGAGCCCTCCTGTTGCCCCCCTCCCCAGCTGGCCAACCTCCCGCATACCTCCCCAGACATGATGATGCAATGGTGGGGTCTCTTGGCCTGGCCTACACCCTCTCCCAATCCGGGATCTCTCGGGGGATGTCAGAGAGCCAGTTTCAGCCTGATCCTGCAGGCTAGGCTGAGGGACCCCACTGGTGCATGAATTTGTGCACCAGGCCTCTAATTTAAAATATTATCAATGATTGCTTTATAGCTTTGAATCACTGAATTGAACCAGATTCCAGACCATCTTAAGAACTTTCTCAGCATTTAGAAATGTCTAATGCTATTTACTCCAATCCCTTCAAAAGCAGTGTTCTCTGCTGATAGAAATAAGATTTGTGCATTTAAGTGACTGGTTTAATAATATAGCTACTAAGAACCTTTTCCAACCTTAAAGATTCAATACTGAAAAACCTTTCCTTAAGTACCTTTTGAGATGCATTTGTAGCCCAAGTCTCAATGTTTTAATAGGAAAAGGCTAAGTTTGGCTATTTCAAATTTGACTCAATTTTTTAAAATATTGAATACATTACTTTTATCCACTTCATCCAAACACTGAAATTTATTATACAGCCCTAGATCTGATGCATTTAGACTCTAATCTTTAGATAGTTTTAAACATACACCTTGCAGAGATGGCAAAGTCTAACTCCTTAATCTCCTCTGAGAAGGTAACTTTTAAAAATGAACTAAGTATTTAAGGAAAGTTACACTTTTTGTTATGGTTAAAGAAACATAACAGAAACCCATTCTGAGTATGAAAAGAAATAAATACTAAATTATTTCACAGTTATCTACTAAAGCCTAAATCTAAACTGATTACAACCAATATTTAACTATACATTCACATAGCTAATAAAGGAGAGAAAAAAAAAAAAACTTGAACCCCATGTGCCAAAAATAGTCTGCTTCCACTAACCTTGGGTTCTAGCATATCCCAGGATACAGTAGATTGGGGGCAGGACTTCAAGCTCAGTTATAGCTGAAGGTCATTCCAAAGCTGAGCTGCTAAAAATAAAATTTCACTAAAAAAATCACAATGGTACTTTATACAACCTTAATGACAAAAGAGTAATTTTTTTGTTCCTTACCTAAAATTTATAATACTGACCAAAAGCTGAAAATTATTGGTATATGTACATGAAAGTGTGATAAAATAAGACAAAGCATGGTAAAGACTGCTTTATTGGTGGCAGTTAGTACAAGTCAATAAATATTGATCCCAAAGAAGAACTCAGCTATCGTCAGCTTACTGGTCCATAGAGAGCTGAATGAAACTGAACCAGCTCATTGCTGGGAGGATAACTGATGTCAGTCCTGCTTCTTGGGAAATGAAGCCAAAGCCAGCTGATACAAGGCATAAATTGTTCCTAAAAAAATTAAAAAAACAAAAAACAAAAACACAAGAAGAACTTAGAAGAAATTCTAAGATTCAAATGTATAAACCAAATATTCCAGCTAAAAATTTTAAGATAAAGGCAAGGTTGGCAGTAAGACTACTTTAACGGGTACTGGCAAATTTTTTCAAAAATAGGGTGACCCAAGAAAATATATATGCATATTTTGAATAATTACACAGGCAGTGTTTATTAAAATACATTTCATTTTCAAAATTGAACTACTAGCTATTAAACTATGTAAACATTTTTAAGTCACCCTGTATATAATATTTATTCTGGTTTCAATATTACTTAACTTCTACACAAAGTGTTAGAAACAGCACAATAATGTATAATATTTGTCATCTTAAAAACAAAAAATTTTAAGTAAAATTAAGAACATATATAATTTCCATACTTATCTAAGATTGCCTGAGAAAGCTAAGAACAATTAAAACATCAACAAGAGGTAAAAATACACAAGCTTTCCCTAAAATGTATTATCAATGTAAAACTAAGGAACATGATATATAATTTTAAAATAACCAATTTTAATATAAGAATAGCTAATAACTAAAATTCATAACTCTGCTCCTACTATACCAATTTGTGTATTACACTGCTAATACTGAATAATGGATCTGCCCACATAAAAAAAGTCAAAGCACTTCACATATAGTATTAAGTATTGGTCTATACTGGTTTTTTCATAAATAAGGGTGTACAAAATTGAGATGTAAAATGTTTTTATTATGTATCACAAAATATTTAAAAGCCCATTATAGGAGATGGGGTAGAGTAGATGCCTTCGATTCCTCCAAAGGCCTACAGGGCCACCAGTGGCACATGGAAAGCCAATCATCAGACTTTACTGGTACATTTGTTAAAGACATTAAAATGTTCTTATACAATATGTACCAATCACCCCCTTGAATCCTTATAGCAAAGCATTATGATCTCAGATTCTGGCCGAAACCGGTTTGGCTCAGTGGATAGAGCATTGGTCTGTGGACTGAGAGGTCCCAGGTTCGATTTCGGTCAAGGGCATGTACATTGGTTGCGAGCACATCCCCAGTAGAGGGTGTGCAGGAGGCAGCTGATCAATGTCTCTCTCTCATCGATGTTTCTAGCTCTCTATCCCTCTCCCTTTCTCTCTGTAAAAAAATCAATAAAATATATTTAAAAAAAAAAAAAAATCTCAGATTCTGGAGAAAGACTGCCTGTGTTAAAATACTGGCATAGCATGCTATCCACAGACGATGTATTATAAAACTGTATACTTGAAATATACATTATTATTAATGAATGTCATCCCAATGAATTTAATAAGATAATATTTTAAAAATACTGGCATAGTAAAAGCAATGAAATTGTTAGTTATCTTACTATTACTTTCCTATAATTTTCAAATGTCTTACCACCAACTGTAAGAATCATGGTAGCTCTATACAGGAGGGCATCAGCTACCCCACCTTTTAGATGCACTGGAATTCCATTGTCTTCCTAAATTAAAAAAAATAATATTAATAAAAAGACTAACCCATTCATATAAAATTAAATGGCTGTATAAACCCCTAAAATTTAAATTTTAAATTTCAAAATTAAAAAGAACTACAATTTTCCTGATTTTTTCTCTACTACTACTACTGCTACTCCTACCACTACTTTTAAAATAAGAACTTCTAGAGTCAACACTCTTTCTTTTAAAGTTAATTTGAGATCCAAAAAAGATGTTCTTTTCATGGAATATATAAAGTGTCGATATGAAAATGTACTCATTGAGTTTATCAACTTAATTATAAATATTAGTAATCATCACATTTTAGACTCAGTCCAAGAGAAGGTTTTTGGTTTTTTTTTAAATTCTTTAAAATAAAGGGAGAGATTAAAAATGGTGGCAAAGTAACTGGATGCTACATTGACATGCTCCCAGGACCAAACTGGAATTACAACTAAAATACAGGAAAAACTTCCTGAGTAATTAACAGAAGACTCTTTGGAGAAGGGTTGAAAAAAAAAAAAAATCACTCAATCAGAGAATTAAAAGGAAAAAACTGAAAACAGGAGGACAGCTTAAGGGGAGCTGTGGGACAAAGTGAAACGTAAAAAATACTTGAATACCAAGTGTGCACGAATAAAGAGATAGAGGACGTGTTTGAAGAAGTAATGGCAGAAAACTTCCCTAACCTGGTGAAGGAAAAAGTCACATAAACTCAGAAGGCACAGAGAACCCCAAGCAGGCACACACCCAGACACATCATAATTAAAGCGCCAACAATTAAAGGCAAAGAGAGAATCTTAAAAGCAGCAAGAGAAAAGGTTATCTACAAAGGAATTCCCATAAGGCTGACACCTGATTATCAGAAACTTTACAGGCCAGAAGGGAATGGTATGAATTACTCAATGTAAAGGAAAGCAAGGATCTGAAACCAAGATTAGTATATCCAGCAAGGCTATCATTCAAAATAGATGGTCAAATAAAGAGCTTCCCAGGCAAAAAAAAAAAAAAAAAAAAGGCTAAAGGAGTACATCACCCACCACCAAGACAGCATTACAAGAAATGCTAAAAGGGATTGCTGTAAGTCAGGGAATGTTGAGAAGAGCCAGAGACAGAAACCTAGCCATATAGAATTAAAATGGCAATAAATAAGTACCTATCAATAATAAACCTAAATGTAAATGGATTAAATGCTCTAATCAAAAGATGTAGGGTAGCTGAAAGGATACAAAAACTTGACCCAACTATATGCTGTCCACAAGAGACCCATCTCAGAACAAAAGACACACACAAGTTGATAGTGAAAGGATGGGGAAAAAATTTCCAATCAAATGGAAAAGAAAAAAAAGCTGGAGTAGCAATACTCATACCCAACAAAACAGACTTCAAAATGAAAGCCATCAAAACAGACAACAAAGGTCACTACATAATACTAAAGGGACGATTCAACAAGAGGATATAACCGTGGTAAACACATAGGCACCCAATATAGGAGCACCTAAATATATAGAAAAATACTAAACACCCCTACTTCACTAGATAGATCTTCCAGACAAAAATTTAACAAGGAAACAGTGACTCTAAAGGATACACTGGATCAGATTGATTTGATATTTATAGAACATGTCACTCCAAAGCTGCACCCAAAAATTGATGGCTTTTTTGTACACCAACAATGAATTCTCAGAAAAAGAAAATAAGCAAATAATCCCATTTACCATTGCAATAAAAAAATTAAGATACTTAGACAATTAAAATTTGACAAAGGAGGCAAGAGTACACAATGGAATCAAGACAGTCTCTTCAATAAATAGTGTTGAAAAATTGGACAGACACTTGCAAAAAAAAGAAACTAGACAATAACTTACACCATACACAAGAATAAACTTATAATGGATAAAAGACTTAAATGTAAGTCAGGAAACCATAAAAATCCTAGAAGAAACCATAGGCAGTAAAATCTCAGACATCTCTCATAGCAATATGTTTACAGATATATCTTCTAGGGCAAAGGAAACAAAGGAGAAAATAAACAAATGGGATTACATCAAAATAAAAAGCTTTTGCATAGCAAAAGAACCATTAACAAAACAAAATGGGAACCCACTGTATGAGAGAACATATTTGGCAAGGATACATCTGATAAAGGATTAATATCCAAAATATATAAGGAACTCATAAAACTTAACAAAAGGAAGATAAACAATCCAATTAAAAAATGGGCTAACGACCTAAATAGACATTTCCCCAAAGTGGACATACAAATAACCAAGAAACAAAAGAATGCTCAAAGTCACTGATCATTAGAGAGATGAAAATTAAAATGACAATGAGGTATCACCTGTCAGAATGGCTACCATCAACAAATCAACAGGTGACAAGTGTTGGCAAGAATGTGGTGAAAAGGGAACTCTAGTACAGTGTTTCCCAAACTTCTCTCATGATGAGAATCACCTGGTGGAGTTGTTAAAATACAGATTCCTGAATCCCAACTAAGAAGTGCTAAACTAGAATATTTGGGAACACTCTGTATACAATTTTACCTATATGTTCCCAAAAATTCTAGTTTTGGGAACACTCTGTATACAATTTTACCTATATGTTCCCAAAAATTCTAGTTTAGCACTTCTTAGTTGGGATTCAGGAATCTGTGTTTTAACAACTCCACCAGGTGATTCTCATCATGAGAGAAGTTTGGGCAACACTGCTCTAGTACACTGCTGGTGGGAATACAGGCAGGTGCAAGCATGATGGAAAATAGTATGGCGTTTCCTCAAAAAAACAAATATGGAACTGCCATTTGACCCAGTGATCCCACTTCTAGGAATATTGCCTAAAAATCCCGAGACACCAATCAGAAAGAATGTATGCACCGCTATGTTCATAGCGGCGTAATTTACAATAGCTAAGTGCCCATCAGTAGGTGAGTGGATAAAAAGCTGTGGTACATTTATACCATGGAATACTATGCATCAGTAAAAATGAGTAATCTGTTGCCCTTAGAAACAGCATGGAAGGGTCCCAGAGTGTATCATGCTAAGTGAAATAAGCCAGTCAGAAACAGGTTTGGCTCAGTGGTAGAGCGTCGGTCTTCAGACTGAAAGGTCCCGGGTTCGATTCCGGTCAAGGGCATGTACCTTGGTTGCATCCCCAGTAGAGGGTGTGCAAGAGGCAGCTGGTCGATGTTTCTCTCTCATCGACGTTTCTAGCTCTCTATCTCTTTCCTTTCCTCTCTGTAAAAAATCAATAAAATATATATTTTTTTTAAAAAAGATAAGTATCACATGATCTCACTCATGTGTGGAATCTAAGCAACAAAATAAACTGATGAAGATAGTGGATCCCCAGAGACATGGAAGCATGGAACAGAGGGTGGAATCTCAGAGGGAAGGCGGGAGACAGTTGGTGAGTGGGGGTTAATCAACCAAGGACCTTGTTTGCATATATTCATGGCCTATGGACAGACAAAGGGATGGTGAGGGCCTGAGCAGGGGTGGGGGCAGGCTGGAGGGGGTCAATAAGGGGAAAAAGGGGACATGTGTAATACTTTCAACAATAAAGAATTATTTAAAAAATAAGGGAAAGGGGTTTTGGTTTATAACCCTAAATCTATAGCCTTAATGCCTAGTTCAGCACCTGTCATAGAATAGATATTTAATACATTTGTTAAATGTAGCTATTCTATTTTTATGTAGTATAGATGGTCCAACTTTATATTTGCAAAAATCCAAAGATCACATTAAAGAAAACAAAAAATAAAGTAGATTACTTACAAAAGTAAATTATTCTATCCCATCAGAAACCCCTATTAACAGTATGGTGCATAGCCTTAAAAAAATTTTAATGCTTGTACTGTCATATCTAATTTATATACCTACGTGCTTAAAATACAAAATGAAATGTTATATAATGATCTGTCACATACTATTTTTTGCTTATGATATCTTTTTAAAAAGCATTTTCTCTTAGTCTATTTAAATAAACCTCATTCCTTTTAATAGTTACTAGCATTCCACTGTACAAAAATATAATTTAATTAACCAGTCCTCTATTAATGGGTAGATTATTGGGGTGTTTTGATATTAAAATTCCATTATGAATAGCCTTTTTCCTACTTGTAAATATTTATGCTACTATGTTTGTAGGAATGATTCTTAAAAGTGGGAGTCTTAGATGACAGGTTATATAATTTATTTTTAATAATACTTTCAAATATTCTCCAAAACATTTGTATTAATTATACTACTATCTAGCATGTATTATACATTAAACATCAGATTGTACACCTTAAAAAAATCAGGTACAATCTAGACATATAGAATTTTAGTCAATCATATCTCAACCAAACTGGTGGAATGGAAAAAAATATCTCCTATGTTTTCTTCTAATTTTTTTGAGAGGAATTTACATCTGAAATTTATCTTTTAATATATAATATAGAAGGGATGAAACTTTTCTTCCTTTAAAATAGCCAATTTTTCCAATACTTATTATATCACTTTTTTTAATATCTATTTTTTTTAATATATTTTATTGATTTTTTAAAAATATATTTTTATTGATTTTGTACAGAGAGGCAGGGAGAGAGATAGAGAGTTAGAAACATCGATGAGAGTCATCGATCAGCTGCCTCTTGCACACCCCTTACTGGGGATATGCCCTCAACCAAGGTACATGCCCTTGACCGGAATCGAACCCGGGACCTTTCCCCAAGCCGACGCTCTATCCATTGAGCCAAACCGGTTTCGGCTATTTTATTGATTTTTAACAGAGAGAAAGGGAGAGAAATAGAGAGCTAGAAATGTCGATGAGGGAGAATCATCAATCAGCTGCCTCTTGCACACTCCCTACTGGGGATGTGCCCGCAATCAAGGTACATGCCCTTGACCGGAATCGAACCTGGGACCTCAGTCCACAGACCGACGCTCTACCACTGAGCCAAACCGGCTTCAGCTCATTATATCACTTTTTCCACTGATTAAATTCATACATACATATTTATCTTTATTTATATTTTGGGCCCTTCCTTACGTCTATTTGCCTATTCTTGTGCAACTACACAATGTAACTCCTCCAAAGAAAGTGTCTCTGCCCCCTTAATTTATTATGCTTTCTCAAGGGCCTCCTAGATATAGAAAATGCTCAGTTAGCTATCAAATGACAGTTTCTTATTATACTTTTGCTAAATACAACAGACATCTCCAGATTTACTTCCTAGTTTTACCTTTTGGTAATCATACTATTATAAATAAAAATATCTTATAAAATATTTCAGTACCTGAAATAACTTCTGTTTCTCTCGAACTTTATTTTCAATCTGCCTGCGTGAAGCAGTAGTAATGGTCCTCTGGGAAATCTGACGAAGAGCCTGAAATTAAAAATTCATACATATTAAACAGATGTAGGGCTTATAGAAACCTTTAAAACCATCCATGTACAATCTTCACAATTATAGAAGAGGGAAAGTGAGAGTTAAAATCTATCCAATTTGTCAGTAACAAAGTTATAAACCAACATCCAGGATTTCCAATGTGTTGGCCATCCTTTGCTCTTTATACTATACTAGAGGCCTAGTGCACAAAATTAATACCTGGGGGGAAGGAGGGCCCCTCAGCCCAGCCTGCACCCTCTCCAATCTGGGACCCCTAGAAGGATGTCCGACGGTTGGTTTAGGCTCAATCATCAGCAGTTGGACATCCCTCTCATAATCTGGGACCACTGGCTCCTAACTGCTCACATGTCTGCCTGCCTGACTGCCCCTAACTGCCCCCCCCACCCCCCGCCCAAGCTGGCCTGGTCACCCCCAACTGCCCCTCGCCAGTGTAGTCGCCCCCAACTCCCCCCCCCCCCCCCTCACTGTCCTGGTCACTCCTTACAGCTCCCTCCAACAACGTGCCCTTTACTGCCCCCCCCCCCCCCCCCCCCCCCCCCCCCCCCGCTGGCATGGTTAACCCTCACTAAACCCCCTGCCAGCCTGGTCGCCCCCACAGCCTGCTGATCAGTCGTTTGGATGCCCCTCACTAACCCCCCTGCCAGCCTGGTCTCCCCACACAGCCTGTTAGGTTGTCCGTTCAGTTGTTTTGGATGCAACAGTCACTTAGCCTTTTATATATTGATTCTGCAGTCTCCAAAGACCACATTCAAGAAGCAATTCATGCCTGGCCAGTTTGGCTCAGTGGATGGAGCATCAGCCTGTGGACTCAGGGGTCCCGGGTTCCATTCCAGTCAAGGGCATGTACCTTGGTTGTGAGCACATCCCCAGTGGGGAGTGTGCAGGAGGCAGCTGATGGATGTTCCTAACTCTCTATTCCTCTCCCTTCCTCTCTGTAAAAAATCAATAATATATATATAAGCAATTCATGTGAATTTTTGAGCACAAACAAACATGACCTTGACCTTAGTTCAATCAGTATTATGTAATCCTTGAAGAAAGCATACTGATATATTACAAAAATAAAAAATGATAACAAAATACACCAATAGTTAAAATGTTTTCATTTAAAACTCTATCATTTTAAAAATCTATTACGTGATCTCAAAATAAACTAGTAGGGTTCCTAAGATACTTCTCTTTACATTTTTTCCTAAATAGATCTTTAATAATATATAAATCATTTAAAAAGGAGACTTGCATTATATACCCAATTGAATTAAATGAAAACTCCACTTTCTAAAATATATTACAAAACTAAGTAAAACCTTTTTTATTGTTACAAAACATTTGGAGAAATGTTTCCCATGCTCAAAGTCGGTGGAAGGCTGAAGGACACTGCAGAACCGTCTTCAGGAAGCAACGCCGCACGGCCACCACGACTGCTCAAGTCCCATCCAAGACTGGACGATCTGCTTTTCTAGCTGAAATCCGATGCCCACGGAGCTACTGAAACCTACACTCTTTCAGTAATAGAGGAACATCTTTCCGTCTGAGGCGGGGCATCAGAACCGTCCCCCCTGGACCTTGGATTTACTCTCTTCAGAGCTACTAAACTCACCCATCACCCCAGAGTTAAGGGTGGCGAGGGGGAAAAACAAAACAAACAAACAAAAAATGCATATCTAACAATCCTGTGCTCACTTCCCCAGCTTCTCCGCTCTCCCTATGTACCCAGCAGAGACTGGGGCAAAGGGAAAGCAACGTCAGGCAGGAAAAGGACGCGGAGCAAGGTGACCCAAGAAGCCGCCCGCCTCTCCCTCTCAGAACAGGCTTGTGAGTCGGTCGTGGTCCCTTAGCTTCCTCACCCAACGCTCCCACCCCACATCGCGACCACAGGGCGAGGAGCGCCTCACCAGCAGATTCCGCAGCATGTTGGCTCTGTTAGTGCCCACCAACCTCGACTACTAAAAGCCGGGACTGCGGAACGTCACGCAGGAAGCGGAAGTACCTTCTGGGCATGCGCATAAGCCGGGGATCATAAACATTTCCGGTTGGGCGGGGGAGGGCTGGCGCTCCCAACCATAGAGAGCGGAAGAACAGCAAGAGCGGCGGCGACACGGTGACCGCTCTAGCCAGCTGGCTGTTCGGGTTCCCTCGTCTCGTTCCCGGCCGGTCGGACACCTTTTCCCCCCGGCCTGCTGGGGATAGCAAACGACTTTTGAGACCAGAGACGCGGGGAGTTGGGTGTTACTCTCTCTTGTAACTCGCTTGGACGAGATTATTGTGAGACCACGCTATCCTAGAAAGTGTGTGTGGTTTGAACGGGAAGGCGTAAAACTTGGAGCAACCTTTGATCCCGTTTAGAGGCTGAATGAGCACCCCTTTCGCCGAAACTATAAGATGTGAAGGTGGATGATTTTGGGAACAAAAAGGGTAACTCCTCTTACACAGTTTTCTCCTTCGAAGAAACTGTGAGGGCGTTCTTGTTCCTTGGGCTGAGAACACGCTGTGAAGGCCTGCGTCGGGGTACCAGTTTTTACCTTCTTGTACCTCTGGATGCTGCAGAACCCCCATGCAGAAAGGCTCTTCCACGGCGCCCCAAAAGTGTGGAGGATGTTCTCTCATTTCTCTGTGCAAGGGGAAACGCTGACAAGACGGGGAGCTTTTTAATCGGGGACAAGGAATAGGATGGCAAATCTGAATTCAAGTCTTGCTGTCTTAGGTCCAGCAGGGCACTTTCCATAACTGGAGTTGTTGGCCAAAAGAAATCATGGAACAGGTAAGTTGTCAGTGTGTCCTGCACCAAATTTGCTTATATAATGCTATTAATACATTGCAAGCGTCTTCATTCTTTGTGCCCACTTCCTAGTATGTGTACTAGTAAATGTAAAACTGCCCTATACTACAATAAAGATCAATAAAGATCTTTTCACTTTTTTACAAACTCAGTTCTAATTAATCTATTGTCAATACAAATAGGAAGCTGATGACATATGTGTTCTGCATAAGGTGAAATGTGAGGACAAACAATACTACTAAAATTATTCCAATCTTTGGTGCTAGACCCACCAAGTTACCTGTCCCCAGTTCCAGTTCTCTCCACTAAGATTTATAAATAATTCAACTCATCTCTCCCCTGGATTAGGACGGAAAGGACCGGGTTTCTTCCCCCTCTGCATTACATAGTGTAAACAAATCTTGGAGGACAGTTACAGGTACCAATAGCTGGAGCATACAAATGTTTAAAAGTGGATTGTCTATAATTTGAATTTGTTAAACTTGTATGTGCTTTCTTATGTTTTCTTCACTTAGCGAATTAGACTGTAAACTTCTCAGAAGAGATTATGTAAATTTCTTACTAATCCCCTATGACTGCTTAATGAGGGTAAACTGTTAACCAACAGAAAACTGATATAGGGTGACAGATCTAGGACACTTACAGCTCTGTCCAAAAAGAACAAAAGATTCACATAAAATAGATCCTAAAATAGATGCTGATCCTTATTTTCATGTCACTTAATACAGTATAATTTCCCCGTTTACTGGATCATTCCCTCACATGCCCAAATTAAACAAATAAACCTTTGACTTCAGTTATCATCCCATTTATCTTAAAAATAAAACATAGATATACTTGTCTTTCCTTCCACTTCTAATTTTTATTTACTTGTTTCATTTGGGGCAGGCTTTTACTGCTCTTATTAGGATCACCAATGGTTTCTATGTTGCCAAATAAACTGTCAACCTCAATTTTCATCTTCTATGAATAACATTTAACATACTTGGTCACTCCCTCAATGTTTATCTCCAATTTCTTTTTATTTGGAAATAAGCCATAAATACAATACACTAAAACATGTATGTATACTACATTGTCTTAATGAGCCTTCCATATACAATTTCTGTCCTTTTATTTCAGCAGCTGCTACAGTACTTCTGGTTTCCTCATCCTCACAATCTCTAAATTTGAGAATACCAGCTTTTTAAAAAAAACATTAATTCCTTTTGGGATTCCATCTGGCACCACAAAACACCATTTGTGTTCGGACAGCTCTCCACCCTGACCTTTCCCTTTAACTCCAGACACCTCCACTTAGATGTCTAATGGGCATCGCAAAATTACAACCAAAACAAAATTCTTCTTTCCACTCATTTCCAAGTGCTCTCCTCTGAAATTTCCTTCAACTCCCAAGGTATGAGCTGCACCTTCAAAATATAATCAGAGTCTGATCGCTTCTCATTTTACCACTCCAAGCCAACCCATCATCATCTCTTGAATGCATTACTGTAAAAGTCTTTTTAAACTGGCTTCCCTCCTTTCAGCTCTTCCACTCAGTTTATATTCCACACAGCAGTAGTCCTTTTAAGAACTTGTTAGATAATGACTCTGCTTGAAACTATTTTATTTTGGTTATTGATGTATCCCCAGCACCTACACTAAGTAACTGGCACATAGTAAATACTGGATAAATAGTATGCTATACAAAAGAATACACTGAACGTGAAAAATCAAAATCTTTCTTAATACTCATTGTACTCCTAACAGTTTTAAGTCCCAGGGTTCCTTACTTCATTGTCTCCTTGATCTTGCTCTGTAAATTGTGATTACCCTGACAAAAAATATGGCTGAATGTGCCTGAGAACCTATTAAACTTGACTACATCTCCCAGACACACCTGAAATTTGTTAACAAGTCTGTAAATTCATCCTCCTGAAGTAGAATAGTTATTTTCAAAATGGGTTCCTTTCCAAAACGTAGGTCCTTTTTTAATATTGAAAAATTATCAGACATTGCTCTTCTTTTGAAAAATATTTTCTCCAGAGGGTTCTTGAACATTAAAACAGAACTGGCAGCACATATAGATATGTGGTAGGTGATAACTAATTTAGGTGTTGTCGGCAAGATAAATTTGTGGGCATCAGATGTAAAATCACTAAGTGAAAATATTTCACAATTAACTGATAGAAATTACCAAATCACAAAGGGACTCAACCTTTCTCCCCCCCACCCCCCCAAAAAAAAGTCAAACCCTTACTTTGATCCTGTCTTATAGCATCTACAAAAAAGACAAATGCCTGAATAAATTTATGGGAATGTGATGTGTATTTTTTTTTTGAACCATGCTTAATCCACATTCAGTTTTATAAAAACAATATAGAACCAACATCATGTGAACTTTAATGTATCAAAACTAGTTAGCCCTGGCCAGATGGCTCAGTTGGTTGGAGTGTCGTGTCCCATATACCAGGTTTGATTCCCCATCATGCCACTTACCTAGGTTTTGAGTTCAATCTCTGGTCGGAATACGGGAAACAGCCTATCGATCTCACATTTATATTTCTCTCTCTTTTCCTACCTCTATAAAATCAATAAGTGTGTGTCCTCTGCTGAGGATTAAAAACGAAAAACCTACTAGATAAAAGGTAATATTTCTATATAACTCCCTATTTTAATTATGATATAGTTAGGAATCAGGAAACATTTGGTTGTCAATTAACTGCTATACTATTTTACCATTAAATAATTTATCTATCCGAAACCGGTTTGGCTCAGTGGTCTGCGGACTGAAAGGTCCCAGTTTCGATTCTGGTCAAGGGCATGTGCCTTGGTTGCGGGCATATCCCCAGTAGGGGGTGTGCAAGAGGCAGCTGATCGATGACTCTCTCTCATCGATGTTTCTAACTCTCTATCTCTCTCCCTTCTTCTCTGTACAAAATCAATAAAATTATTTTTTTTAAATCAATAAAATATACTTTTAAAAAAAAGTAGACTAAAAAATTAAAATAATAATAATTTATCTAGTTGCAAGCCCCAGTCTTTTCATCATTAAAGAGGTTGATGAAAACCGCTAATCTTTATCTCTGGTTCTAAAAATCCTTATATATGAAAAATACTTTAGGACATCCTATATAATAAAATGCTAATATGCAAATAGACCGAATGACTCATGGAGTGACCAGTTGCTATGATGCACACTTACCACCAGCGGGCAGATGGTCAATGCAGGAGCTGCTCACTGGTGGTATGCTCCCACTGGGGGAGCGCCACTCAGCCAGAAGCCAAACTCACAGCTGGCAAGCACAGTGGCGGTGGTGGGAGCCTCTCCTGCCTCCATGGCAGTGATAAGGAGCTGCGAGCTGAGCAGTAAAGAGCAGCAAGTAGGTGGGCGGTAAGGAGCGAGGGGTATTGGATGGTGAGAGGGATCCCAGACTGCGGGAGGGATTTCTGACCGCCAGCTTAGGCCCGGTTGCCCCAGGGCGATTGGGCCTAAGCCAGCAGGTGGACAGCCCCCAAGGGGTCCCAGACTACAAGAGAGTGAAAGCCAGGCTTAGGGACAACCCCTCTCTTCAGTCAGTGCTCAAATTTCGTGCATTGAGCCTCTAGTATGACTAAGTTCACTCCTTGTTGAATTATAACATACTGAGGGCCTACTATGAATGTAAAATTTTCCAATATGATCAGGAGAAAATGTTGAATCCCTGACGTTCTGGAGCATATACTCTCACTAGGAATATAATATACACATAGTAGTAAGTTATTATGCAGACATATATGACTCTCTGGTAACTGCTGCAGTAAAAGGTTGCTATGGGAAATTCAAGAAAGGTAATGGTCATTGGGAAGGTTATGAAACACACTAGATTTTAGCAGGGTTCAGTACAATTAGAATAAATGGTGTAGAGATTAAAAGGTTTTCCAGACAGGGCAAAATCATGATTAAAAACCTGGATTCAGAGTCAAGCATGATTTACTGCAGAAACTGAAACAGATATTTTAAAGTGATGTATGATGAATTCAGTCTTCTTCCACATTACCCTGGAAGAAAAGCTTGTAACACACAAACAGACAAGTTCCCATTAATGTCACTTAAAATGCATAAAAATTACGTTTTAAAAAATGTTATGAAACATATTTTTGAAATCAATATGATTTTATTAATCAATATCACTATAAAAAATTTTAAGTATTATAAAAAAAAGATTATAAAATGTTATGAAACCACAATGTGCCTCAAGATGTTTCTGGTTTGATAGTGAATTGGCCCTAAGAGTCTTTTCTCCCTCTCA